ACACACACACACGCTCACTCACTCACACACACACACACACACACACACTCTCACACACTAACTCACACACACACACACACACACAGAATGAAAGTAATACCAAACCAAAAGCCAAACCAAAAAATACCAAAGTTCGCTGTAAAAATGTGTTTTCTTCAACTACTTTAAGTTATCTATTAGTTAAGATGTATTTACTTGGAATATTAAGTATTTTTAACTTGACACATTTCAAGTTTTTTTAAACGTTTAGTTATAATATGTTTATATATATATATATATATATATGTGTGTTAAGTTCATGTTCATTTAACTTAATTTGGCTTATTTTCTTAGTTCAACCAAAATAAGAAACTATAATAAACCTTATCATAATGCCAAAGAATTAAAAAACATAAAAAATAGCAAATATGGAAATTATGAAAACACCTTCAATTCTCCACAAGACATTTGTTGTCAATTAAACATGAAATTTTAAGGCAGTGGAGTACGTTTTTTAAAGTTGAATCAGTGTACTGTTCATCTTTTGATGTGTAATTAATCTGATTATGAGAAACCCGAGGCGTTTAGCTCGGAGAAAACTTCCTCATTTCTCTGGTTTTAGTCTTAAATTCGCACTTGCAATATTGTTCCTGATGTCTGAACACGAGCCTGTGTTTTGGATTTGCATAAAGTAATAAATGTAAATGTTAAGAACAGAGTTTGATCTGAGCTTTGAGTGGAATTATTAACCATCTTTTCTTCAAAAACAAACCAACTTTATGATGATGACGGTCTGGCAGGAAAGCATGCTCTTATCTGCAGTCGCTTATCACTCAAACCCTCATTAACCTCGTGTTTACCGACTCCCTCTTCCTCCTCCGACCCACAAACAGCATCATTTACAGCACTAACGGATGGTTTACCGTAGTAAAGCTGCTCTGATTACCTGTGCATGATGGCGTGTGTGCTCTCACGGCCCTCCGGACGCGAATGAAGCGTTTCTGGCAGGAATTGTGCTGTTCTTCCCGTTAGGAGGAATGTGGTCCGGCAGCATTGATGTCACTCGCTCCTTCTGATCTCAGATCAGCCTCAGCCTCTCAACTCCACAGAATCAGTGTAGAGTTCACGCGTCCGTCTGAATGAACGAGTTCAGAGATTCCACAGAATATATCTGGAATATCCGAGACATTCCAAAGACTATCTTGATCTTCAACGCAAGAGCGAGTCACATGATCAGTGACACTCGTTTATTTACTTCCCTGATTAGTCACATGGAGAAAGAATAGTTTTATGTCAGAACATTGTTGTTTTTTTTACTTTTTTTGAAATCTGAAAACTTTACGATTATCTGTATTTGAATTTAAAAAATTCTAGATTTTCACAAGAAGGTCCCATTAGTTAGTGCATTAATTAAGATAAACTAACAATGTGCATTACATTTGTTACAGTATCTATTAATCTAACAAAGAATATGGGTCGGTAAGATTTTTCTGAAAGAGTCTCTTCTGCTCAGCAAGGCTGCATTTATTTCTTTAAAAAAATACAGTAAAAATGTGAAATATTATTGTAATTTAAAACAGCTGTTTTCTATGTGAATATCTGTTAAACTGTAATGTATTTCTGTGATGCGCAGCTGTATTTTCAGCATCATTACTCCAGTCTTCAGTGTCACATGATCTTCAGAAATCATTCTAATATGCTGATTTGCTGCTCGAGGAACATAGAAATATGGCACAACCTGAGAGATTCATCAATAGTTTTATCTCAGAATGAGAATTTTTTTACTTTTTCCAAAATCTGAAAACTAAACGATTATCTGGCTTAAAAATATAATTTTCTCCCCAATTTTTTTCCTTCTCAAAAAAAAAAAAAGTAATTTGGGTGGAAAAATCATCCTATTGCAATTGTTCTGTAATGCAGTAAATAAAAATACTTTCTTTTCTAGTGACGAGAATCCAAACCGTTTTGGTTCCCATTGACTTCCATTGTATTTTTTGTCCATGTAATGAATTTAATGGGAACTGTTTGATTCCAAACATTCTTCAAAAATATTTTTCTTCATGTTCCACAAAACGAAACAAAATGATTATTTTTGGGTGCATTAACCCATTAAGAATAATGAGAATTACAAGAAGTCTAAAGTAAAACGTACAGAAACATTACAGTCCTGAGATGTGTTTAACGATCAAGAAAATATGTGAAAATGCAAAGTATGTTACTACTTCTGAATACAGCCTTCATTCTATTTATGGAATATATCTTTTCTTATTTTCTCTTTTGATTTTGATGTGGCATGTCAAACTCATTTCAGTTTCAGGATGATAAACTAGTCAGATGTGTGTGTGTGTGTGTGTGTGTGTGTGTGTGGAAACAAACAGCAGCACACGACTCAGTCAGAGACACACACGAGGACAGGACTTCCCTTTGTACAAGACAAAACACTGACAGAAACGAGCTTTCAGCAAGAGCCACTCAAACACACACTCACACACTCTCACACAACGGCGCTTTCAGCCTGTGTGAATTGTGTCACTTAGTAAGATACAACATAACACCACTGACCTCTAGACAACAGCTGTGTGTGTGTGTGTGTGTGTGTGTGTGTGAGAGAGAGAGAGTGTGTGAGAGAGAGAGCGTGTATGTGTGTGTGTGTGTCCTGCACTATAATGCTGGAGTCAAACATCATCACTGATTACAGCAGAAGATGGAGACGCAGCAGAAAGCAGACACACACTGATATTAAAGCCGCTCCTCATGCTGTCATTAACTGTAATTCCTGCTCTATCAGACTCTGTCTGTGTTTATCTTCTCCTGCAGCACATAAATCATCCCAACATCACGAGTAAAGCGCTCTCTGGCTCCCATCTAATGTAAATATTTTAAGACAGAAGAGCGTCCCGTCGCTGCCTGACTCTGATCATGACATCATCTGACGAGACACCAGACGACAAACTCAAGTGATGCATGCTGGGAACATCAGAAAACTAGCAAAAACTAAGCAGACGCTTGAGAGGGTTTTTGCAACCTTTTTGTAGCAGCTCTGATACAGCATGATCGATACACCTCACAAACACACAACATGTGATTTCATTGGAAGCTTGTTTACGCCACAGAATAAAAAAGAGGGGGAAAAAAGGTCATTGCGACTTTTTATCTCACAGTTCTGCCTTTTTTTCTCTGAATTCGGAGTTTACATCTTGCAATTTTGTTTTTGTTTTTTCTGTCACAGAATAAAAAATTAAAAAGCTAATTGCAACTGTTTTTCTATAGATTTCTGCATTAAAGATGGATTAATAATTAGGACAGGATTAATCATTAAGAGCTTTTTCATTTAGCAAACACTTTATCCGCAGTGGCAAACATGAGGATTACAGGACAGGCTGAAATATGATCATGTGCTCAATATACTGTATTTACTCAGCAAATATTTGAAGACTTTAAAAACATGTTCAGGATCAGACATGAGAACAACAGAATTACAGCGAAACATATGTGCTTCATACAGACTAAATCATTTCATTTGACAGTGACTCTGATCACTGAACAAAAACTGTGTTAATGTTGCGATGAACAGAAAGTGGATTTAGATCATAAACTCTCAAACAAACATGCGAAATAAAGATGCAATTCACTTAGTGCTGATATAAGGATATAAAACACACTAAAGACCTGAAGCACAAGTAATACATCAGAAAATATGAAATGCAACTGAATAAGAGCTAAAGTGAGTGAAATTACAAACAAACACCTCAATAAAAACAACATACAAACTAAAATTAGTGTGTGTGTCTGTGAGAGAGAGAGAGAGAGAGAGAGAGAGTGTGCGTGTGTGTGTTATAGTCAGTAATGGTGAAAGTTACTTTTAAAAGTAATGCATTACAATATTGTTACTCCCTAAAAAAGTAACTTATTGTGTTACTTAGTTACTTTTCATGGAAAGTAATGTATGTTACTTTTGCATTCCTTTTTCACATCTGGGCTGGTCTCATTTTTCTCTTTTCAGCAATAAAGAAAAGAAACACAAATGCTATGTTTATCTAAAGTCATTTTTGCTTATTATGGTTGAACTGGATCATCGAAGGTCAGCAGCAAAGACACTGAATAATAAAATGAGATTAAATGCATAAAGGATATTTGTGTTATTTATCACATTTAATTATTGCAGGTTTGTGTCATATTCTGAGTTTGCATTTGACTGTTTTTACTGCTTTTGAGGAATACTGAATCAGTTTTTGTGCAGGTGTGATGATGAGTAAATGCATGCTGACATTTAGTCCAGATCTACAGTAGCATGTTCACACAGCGCATCTGCACTCACTCCTGATTCTCTCAACATGAGCACAGGACAGCTTCAGCCAATACACGGGAAATAAAGTAACTGGTGTTACTTATTTGAAAAAGTAACTCAGATATTTCCTTGTAAATTAAAAAGTAATGCGTTACTTTACTCCTTACCTGGGGAAAAAGTGATCTGATTACATAACTCGCGTTACTTGTAATGCGTTAACGCCAACGCTGGTTATATAGTGTGTGTGTGTGTGTGTGTGTGTGTGTGTGTGTGTGTGTGTGTGTTAGTCTCTGACCTGTTGTCTGCTGCGTGTTTCTGCTCATCTGCGTGGATCCTGAATGAATGAAAGGCAGTCAGAATCACTCCGCCACAGTCCTTCACATCCATCATCCCTCAGATCACGAACACACTCGCGGAGATCACGGCACGCGTGTGTGTGTGTGTGTGTGTGTGTGTGTGTGTGTGTGTGTGAGATCCGACCGCCATGAAACGCAGACGCGCGGGGGCGGGGCTACAGCCGCCCGCGTCCAATCAGCACACAGGGGCATGCAAAAATTAACATGAAATATTTCCTCTGGTCAAACAAAAGCAACACTCACCAAATACGATTCTTATTTGATTTTGTTACAACTTATCACATAAAGTACTCTCACTAATACATTTACATTTTCCCGCATGTATAATGCACAATAATACTGCAATGATGAAAAGTGTGAAAAGTGTGAAATGGAAGTGTGTGAATGATGTAGAGATGACACAGATGAAAACTTCTTCTTTATCTGATTTATCTGATTCCAAACCACATTCCCCCGTTAATGAAGCACCTGAATGACCCTCTGAAGCTGGTTATGTAACTTCTTCAAACAGCAGCTCTTCCTCTTCGGTCCTGATGTCTGATAAATTCACACTGATTCCGTTCTTCTGTGGTCGCATCGATCCGCTTCTGTCAAACTCTGATTTACAGTTTAATGCTGCTGACAGATGAACTGTTATCGAGCGGCTGCCACAGCAGCTTTCTGTTCATCTGTCCATCTGATAACCAGCTGATGTTCTTCCTCATTCATTTTCACTCAGCTGAAAAAAATCTAAACAAATCAAAAGCCTTATGACAGTTTACAACACGACACGACTCTTTCCAACTGAAGAAGAGAAGTGTGCACTAAGACAAGCATCACCATTACTGTAAGCAACCACACAGGACACCCTAGCAACCACCTGTCAACCAAACAGCACCCTAGCAACCACACAGAACACGCTAGCAACCACCTAGCAACCAAACAACACCCTAGCAACCACACAGGACACCTTAGCAACCACCCGTCAACCAAACAACATCCTAGCATCCACACAGAACACGCTAGCAACCAAACAACACCCTAGCAACCACACAGGACACCCTAGCAACCACCTAGCAGCCAAACAACATCCTAGCAACCACACAGAACACCCTAGCAACCAAACAACACCCTAGCAACTGCCTAGCAACAAAACACCCTAGCAACCACACAGAACATGCTAGCAACCACCTAACAACCAAACAACACCCTGGCAACCACACAGAATGCCATAGCAACTAAACAACATCCTAGCAACCACACAGAACACCCTAGCAAACACCGATCAACCAAACAACACCCTAGCAACCACACATAGCAACCAAACAACATCCTAACAACCACACAGAATACCATAGCAACCACACAGAACAGCCTAGCAACCAAAAGACAACCTAGCAACCACACAGAATACCTTAGCAACCACCTATCAACCAAACAGCACCCTAGCAACCACACAGAACAACCTAGCAACCAAACAACACCCTAACAACCACACAGAACACTCTAGCAACCGCATGGTAACTTGTTAAAAAAACTCTTAACACCCACACCCATTTCCTGAAGAAATCAAGGATGTAAAATTAAGCTATATTTTGTATATCATGCATATTTTATGTATTTTATGCATAATTATGTATATTTGAAATAAGCATATGTGCATAATATTAATAAATAATAGAATATGCATATATATATATTCTATCATTTAATAATTTATTATACTAAAAATGCAGTAAAAACAGTAATATTGTGAAATATTATTACAATTTAAAACAACTGTTTTCTCTGTGAATATGTGTTAAACTGTAATGTATTTCTGTGATCAAAGCTGTATTTTCAGCATCATTACGCCAGTCTTCAGTGTCACATGATCTTCAGAAATCATTCTAATATGCTGATTTGCTGCTCAATTATTATCAGTTATTAAAGGCATTAGCATAGAATTATTATCAGCATAGAATTAATTCTGGAGGATTATGTGACACTGAAGACTAGAGTAATGGTTGCTGAAAATTCAGCTTTGCTATCAAAAATAAATTCAAAAAACAGCTTTTTAACTGTACTATTTGTAGTATTTTTGATCAAATAAATGCATCCTTGGTGAGCACAAGACAATTTCAAAGACATTAAATATTTATTCCAAACTTCTGACTGGTAGTTTACATGAGCAATTTTTACAGTCACTATGCATAAAAACATATGCGTGTTTTAGAGCTGAAGTCTGCCAGAGCTGTAATTTCACGACACGAGGCGGAGGAAACTACACCCTCACACTTTCTAAACCTGCTATATGCACAGCAGATACTTGTATTTTTGGACTTTGACTGAGTGATTCACGCCTGGTTTGACAGTGAATATTGCACCTTGTAGAACACTCTAGTATTCTCTATCTAATCACATGAGGATCGACCGGTGGAATGACAAACCTGATGTGAGGGGAAGTTAAGCTCAATCTGTCATGCTGATGGGTACCACAGAGACTGCTCACACACAGCTGTGTGGTGGCGGGCTAAAACAGACCCCAAGAATTTAACTGACTCGAAATTGAATTGTGCCGTGTGTCTCTACTGCCCTCTGCTGGCTGCGGTAGAGACACGCATCATAAGAGTGAGATGCATCATGCTTAATGTGATTTACACAAGAAGAACATGTTCCTGGAACAACATCCCTATTGACCAATCACCGCCCTCTGATTTTAGCTGTAAAAGGATGATTGATACAAAAGCTGTTCCAAGAACAACAAAGCATGTTGATCCTGGAACATGTTCTGCTTGTGAATAATCACACTGTGTGGTGTATCAGGAGAGAGACAAACACAAATTCTCAACGTTAAAATGTTGTACTGTGTTAAATGTTGTTCCAAGAAATGACAAAAGCTACAACATCCCTGCGACCCCAAATTAGACAAGTGGTTTGGACAATGGAAAAATCAAATAAAATATAAAACCATGATCTGCACTCACAAAAA